TAATATAAAATTATTGAGCGGTGTAACACTTAGTAAAAGTTACACCGGTGTCGTTTGAACCCTCCTCATATATATATATATATATATACACAGAGGCAAGGCATTGTTAGGAATGAGTAGAAAGTCAAGGAAAAAGGCTTATGCCATGGAGATAAATGCATAGAACTATTACTAGGGAAGTTAACACAAAGGTTTATAACAAACTAATTCTAAATTGCCAGTGAGTTAATTTTTTTCTTTTAGTTTCCCACAAGTATTTTCTTTCGGAAACAATTCTCTTTTAGACACGGTCGTGCACAAAATATAAGCACTTTTCTGAAGAGAGATTTGATATGTGGTTCACCAGTATGTGTGGGATTAGCTTCGTCTATTAGACCTAATCCCAATTAATTGAATTAGAGACAACAAAATCTTGAAATATTCCTATTTATTTATACTAAAATATTTTAATAGATTCTCGTCGAAAATTAGGCATTAATAAAGTTGATAAATAATTTGTATCAAAAACAGTTATAAAAAAATATATATATTTGAGATTCCATCATGACATTTAGAAAAACATCACATTCTGCAGTTCACGAATCAAACTCACTACTCACTTGTTATCTGTTATGAAAAAGAGGTCCAAGACTCTGGCATCAGGAGTCGTGGTCACTTTCACCTTTTGAATCGCAAGTTCAAGCTCTGAGAGAACTTTTGTTACATCTACAACAGTATCAAAAAAGGGTAATCAGAACAAAAATAGCACATGAAACATGGTTTGAAATGAAGAGTATTGAGTAAACACCTAAATTAGTCATTGAATTTGGAAAACGTTATCATATTAGTTTGGGTAAGGACTTATTTGATAATTTCTTAGTTTCAGAGATCCATATGATTCCGTGTTACAAATTCAAGGACTAAAATAGGTATTTACATAAAGAGTGTTTCTTCCAATACCGTGTAACAATCCCTTTCGATCAAGGCAACAAAACTTCAATAGATAGAGAGGAGAAGACGTGGAAGGTTGTTGGATGGGATAAAAGGAGGCCAAACAAGGTGGGCAAATTCCCTGAAGCCGGTCTTTCAGATAAGAACAAGTCAGAGGAAGCAAGACGGAGTGCGGAATGACCCACAACACAATGTAGCACCACACGCCATCGGTTGAAACGTCTGAACAAGAGGGTCCATTAAGCGAATAAATTGAAGGTATTAAAAAAAAAAAAAAAAAAGAATGGAAGAGAATGATTCTGTGAGGAAGTGAGAGGTACCTCCTTTGGTAATGCTGAGACCGAAATCGAGAATGATTCTGCAGATGTCGCAGGCGAGGCCGGTCTTGTCGGGGCAATTGACAGTGATGATGAAAGGGTCGGAGGGCTTCGTGGGTTGCTGGATTTGAACGACGTCGTCATCGCCGGCGGACACTCCCATCATATGGGTGTACAGTACAGTTAGCAGGTCAAAGGATGGTTAAGGTTTGGGATGCCAACTTGAAGACAGAAATCTATGACACTGCTCTTGTTTCTTTGTACTTATTGTTGTTGTTGCAAGTTGTAACTGGCTCGTCAGGTGAATGGTCATTGCAGGGGTACACGTCAGCAATCGCGAAGGCACTGTTGTGGACGTGGCGGGATATCGCCGCTTAATTACTGGTTAGTTGTTATGGTTAGCTTTTTCTTTTTTGAGGCTATAATTTCATATATCTTGTTTCCGTATCTGCTACCAATTTGCTTTCACATTCATTAGCTTCATGCCACCTAAGTAAATTCTTCTGGACTTGGATTTGTCTAGTTTGCTTTTCCACTCTTTTAAGCAATTAATTAATGAAAAATCAGACAGAAACAGACTAATACACTATGTAGAAACAATTTATTTAACAAAAAGTTCCATGTTCAGGCTCCACCGTATGCAAAAACATTAAATTAACAATAGTCACATTATCAAGAGGTTAATTTCTGACCTGATGTATTAGAGAATACTCATAACAGGATAAAAAAAATGACTGACATATACTTTATTTGGGTAAATCAATTAAAATACACATTTAAAATCTAAATCATCCGATATTTATCTTAATAGAATCGATTTTCCTACTGCATAAATGTGACAAAATTTGACTGGACAAAAATATAGTTCCATATGTCCCCCTCTTTAGCATCCTATTTGGTCCATGGTTTGAATAGAGATAAAAATTAAAAAGAAATAGTGGGCAATGTTTTCATGCTGTTCTCAAAAAGTGATTACGTAAACCACTCAACTAACTCTAGATTAGGATAAAGTTATGAACAGAATTTTATAACAAAAAAAAAATGGTTCTCCAATGCATGAATTATACAATTCAAAATGAATTTCTACTCAGATATTGCGAATCAGTTTCACATCATCCCCTGCATTGAAGTAAATGGAATGACTCCGGTCTACGCAATTGACATTACGCAAGCACATTTCACAAAGACGCTTGAAAAAATAAAGAAGAAAAGATTACCAGAAAACAGGAAAAATTATCAAATTCAATCGTCTTTTAACCAGCAAAATTTGAAGTGACATGCTGTAGTCTTTTGCGAAACGAAAAACAAGATGTAATATTAAAAAGTGTGATAGCTGTAGACGCCAAAATTCAGGCACCCCAACTTCCCCAGTATAAGGATGAAAATTTTGAAAACCACCATACTCATCTCACATATTATTTCTACTTTGACATGTCACCAAAGGTGCGAAAACAAGTTAACTCTTTTTGCTAACTCCAAGCCTCAAACGGAAATCCTCTTCCATAAGAGGAAGACCATCCCGCAACTTCACCTTCGGCTCCCAGCCCAACAATTCTTGTGCCTTGGTTATGTCTGGTTTTCTTTGTCGAGGATCATCAGGAGTGTTCTCCACATTCTTGATCTCCACAGTTGGATTAATAAGCTGCAAACCACCCACAAAGCATTAATTAGAAACTTCTTGCAAATATTTTCATTCTTGCACTGCACATAAATATAGATTAGATGTATTAATTTGGTACATAGAACATGCAGTCCTACTTCAGAAAAAAAGAAAAATAGCTCAATGAATCGGATTGGTAACCAAGAATTCCAATTCACATTTTACTACTCACAGCTTAAACTTAAAATGAAAGCAAGCGTGTAAACCAACATAATAGGTTAAGTGAATGCTACTGATGAAGAACAAAAAAAAAAGCAGTTAAAACTGACCTCTTTCACTGTCTCAGCAAGTTCTGTCATTGTAAATTCACCTGAAATGCAAAGATACTCAAATAAGTAACCGAGGGCAGAAAAAGTAACGATACTTTCCCAATTAAAGAAGTAATGATATTCAAATACGGGCTTTCCAGTCAAAATCTAACCTGGGTTTCCAAGGTTGATTGGCCCAGTGTTTGACCCTTCCATGAGACGGATAAGACCATCAACCTAAGACATCTCATAAATATCATAATCACATTCAGGTAGTATTTCTAAGATATAAAGATTGTGGGATATATACCAGGTCAGAGACATAGCAGAAACTCCGAGTTTGTGTTCCTGGAGATTGGACTGTCAAGGGTTCACCCCTATAATGAACCATTAAGAGAGAATTAAAGGGTGAATCAACATAGAAACAGAGCTAAGATAGAAATAGAAATCATAGCTAGTCACCAAAATCAAAGTATTAAAAGTTTAAAATAATTAAATCAATAATTGATCTAGCAAGTAGCAAGCAAGCATGCTAATTGAACAAACCATGCATCTGTTCTGGCAAACTAAAACCATCAGGATATTTCGAATAAGCCACACAGAAGTAACAACATCATAGCATATATTTAAACCAGAAATCAGTCAAGTAATTACCGAAGTGCTTGAGCAATGAAGTTGCTAACAACACGCCCATCATCAATATTCATGCGTGGTCCATATGTGTTAAAGATTCTTGCAATGCGTATTTCTATGTCAAAAATAAATAAATTACTCAAGGAGTTAAAAAACAAAGGAAAACCTCTACTAGATATGCCTTAAAGGCTTAAACAAAATGAGAATCAATTATAAGGAAAAGAAGACAAGAAATTACCAATCCCATGCTGCCTATGGTAATCAAACATCAAAGTCTCAGCAACGCGTTTACCCTCATCATAGCAACTGCGAACTCCTGATATTATCATATATGTAAGTTCCCAGGGTACAGTTTTATGCATGTGCATGGAGGATATACATATCTCCATTGAATTACAGTTCACAGACATATTAGCCAAAATAGTTCCATTTAAGAAGTGTTTTGTGCAAGTTGAGAATGAGATAAAGGAACCTACCAATAGGGTTAACATTGCCCCAATAACTTTCAGGTTGGGGATGCACAAGAGGATCCCCATATACCTCTGAAGTTGATGTAAGCAAAATCCTGTCAATAATTTTGAACTAATTAGGACCAACTAATGGCAGCAGTTGAGATCAGCATTTAAAAAAAAAAATCCCAACCTTGCTCCAACTCGCTTTGCAAGCCCAAGCATGTTCAGTGTGCCAATCACATTTGTCTTTATTGTCTGTAAAGTAATAATTGTCTTACAAATTAGATAGTCTTTCAAGGTCTAATAAACAGAGAAAACTTTCAACCATTGATGTGTGACGTGATCTGGACATAACTATGGGAAAAACATAACAATAGGCACAGTAATCAAGCTAATTTAAGGGAAAGGAGAAAGAATGAGAAGGGGTTCAGTATACTCCTGCCCCCTCCTTTTTCTTTTCCAGAAAAAGGAAACCATATCAGTGAGTGTGCAATGAATAAGAATGCAAATTCTTCAACACTTGACATGAATAAGTGTGGATGTTAATTGTTAAGTACAAGGCAAATGATTAGAAAGACAAAAGTAGACTCTCAAAACTATACCTTCACTGGATTGTATTTGTAAAAAATGGGAGAGGCAGGGCATGCAAGATGGTAGATCTGATCAACCTCAATCAACAAAGGCTCCGTGACATCTACAAAGGGATCAAAGTGATAATGAGCATCAATATCATTGGTTTACAAAAAGATATAAAGTAATGCTGAACATAGTATATTATGTACACAATACAGAATGATCATTATTGTTCCCTGAGAACAACATCAGATGGCTAATCTAATTGGGGTTATTTAAGAAACAGTTTACATAAAAACTGCTTTAATTCATGGTGTGACAACTGTGAAGCTTATGCTGATTGCATTCCTTAACTTAAAAGCTCAAATATATCAGCCTAATGAGAAAAAGATAAATCAATAAAAACCTTCAGTGCATCTTACATACAACAATTTTATTGGCATTTATAGTTGACAGTAAACAAAGATGAGACACTATACCATGACGGATAAGTTCAAATCTTGGATGACCAATCCATTTTTTGAGGTTGTCCTTGGATCCAGTGAAGTAGTTGTCAGCAACAATGACCTGATTAAACACAAAGATATTTTGGTAGAACCTTACCAAATCAAACTTTGTTTTATATGCTGTACTTATTTATCACATATAGGATGATAACAAGTAATGTCATCTGTATAATATCGGTTAAATCATGAATTAATATCAGAAGTATTATGAACGAAAAGATAACCTGCTGACCTCATTTTTTTCATTTTCCATCAATCTGTCGACTAAGTGAGATCCAATGAATCCAGCTCCTCCAGTAACCAAGATTCTCATGTTGGACTATTATCAAGAATGAAAGAAATACTGGTAAACAAGGCTCAAAACAAGAAAAGAGGTTTACGCAAAATAGGTGATTCTGACAAAACCCATATATTCACAAACACCTAACAAATTCTGAGTAATGGATGTAAGATGAACAGATGTTCTATTACACAAAATTCAGAACCAAAGCTAGTACTACAAAAGAGGATAGAGAAACACAAAAAACCTTTTACAGTTCAACAGATCAGTATATTAAATATATAACTAAATTCAAAACAACAAATTTCAACCTTTTGTTGAACATCACCTCTTTTTAGAAGATTCACAGAATAAAACATTGGGTTTGTTGTCAAACATTTTGATAAGTGCTTGTGGTCAAGCTATAAAATATTAAGTACACAAATCACTCCACATTTCTCAGCATTTTCAATCTTTTTAAGTTTCTTATAGTGTTTGTGTAAAATAAAGACAAAATGGTCCATCCACAAAATATTAATTTTCTAACTCCATCAATACGACATGATCATCAATGTACTTGTACTAAAAAAGTGAATTTAAATAACTGAATTAACATGAAATTGGAACAAAGCAAGCAATGAATGTTATGGATATGGTAATCAAAACAAAAATGATGCAATGCCTCACCTGAAAAAATTTGGAAAAGCGCAGGGGAGATGGCAAAGGAGGTTGCTTTGTTGTTTCTTGGTGATGTCCATTAGAAGAATTTGTTGCCATTCTCTGGACCTCCGAAATTAAATCCTACACAAATTTTGGGGGGGCTCAATGTCGTGCACAGATCAGATAAACTAAGTAGGACATCAAAATTCCAAACCAAATCATGTGACTTCACATCTATTTAATGAAAGGGTCAATTGGAGCCACAGAGAGGGCAAGGAGAGACAGATATCAATAAAAGCAATGAGAGTTAGAAAGGGATAGAGCAAATAAAGAACCTGATCTCAAGCTTCACAAAAACACCAATGACCAACCCAAAACCCTAACCACTCTTGTGTTACCACTCCATGATCATAACCAATTTATATAGATAAGTAACAACCAAAATTTGAAAACTCTTCCACCAAACTTAAATTCAAAATGGAAGGTAAATAAAAATAAAAACAAAAACTTTACATGTTTATATAATAGATAAAATTAACCCCCCAAAAACATAATTCAATTTGGAAACCTTAAAAGTCACGGAAAGTTGAGGGACATAATGAAAGCTCCCAGGCAACGACAACAGTAATGGAAATCACACCAAACTATTATTCTGAAGTAAACATGCAGAAAAGAAAAACCAAGGGCGACCCAACCAAACCAAACCAAACCCCACATTGAATTTTGTGTCTATGACTATAATTACCTAACCGAACAAATGGATCGTATGATACGAATAATATGAAGTCGAATTGAATTCAATTTAGAAGCATGAGGTAAGGTAGAGTGAGAAAGGAAATTGAATAGGGTGGAAGTGCATGAGAATGGAGTATTGTGTCAGCCCCAGTTACATTACATATTCTGCACTGCCACGTCAACTCCACCCTACCTTTTCTAATTTAACTTTAATTATTATTTTTCTATAATTTTATTTTTTTCTCACTATAACTAAAAATATTTTATTTTAGTCTTTATAGAGAGAAGAAGTAATTTGTGTATCTGTTAAAAAATAAAAATAAAATTAAAAAATAGATAGTTACATTTTTTAACTAATATTCTTTATGGTTGTTTGAGAATATAATTGTGTTGGATAAAAGTAAAAATCAAATGTGTAATTATGAAAAAATATATATGAAGTCTAATTATTTCAAGAAAAGTGGAAATCAAAGACATAATTGCATGAACATATTTTCTTTATAATAGTTATATTTATATTTTTTATTTTTATAGTTTCTTAAGCTTTATTTTTCAATTTCTATAACAATAAACCATAAAAAAAAATGATAAATGCATAAATTTTGTTTTTTTGGTAAAGTATAAATTTTGTTTAGTAGAACAAAGAAATAGTTTTTAATATTTTTACGCAAAAAAACATTACAAAATACAAAATCGCATGATAAAAAAACCAAAATACTTCTGTAAATTATAATTTTCCTTTATTTGTTTTTATATTTTAAAAAGGATGTGTGTTTTTTTATTGTTAATATTATAAAAAAAAAACTCTATGTTTGTAACCAATGTTCTCTTTTATTTAATATTTTTCATCTTATTCAAAAAAAAAAAAAGAGTATGTTACTGGAACACCACCTTCATCTTATTCGTTACTTCATGAGCTTTTACTCAAGTCAACTTCAGAAGCTCATTTTTTTTTTCTTCCCGTTGCGGCTTATGCTTCTTTAGCCACAAATTTTTAACAATTTTTTTCCCATTTTTTTAATCAGTTGAATTGTTTCGAACTGTTACGTATTGTAATTTAGGCATATTATATTATAATGTGTAATTAACTAAAATTGGTCAAATGATAAAAGTTTAAAATATTATATATACAAGGACGAAAGATTTATTTATTTTAATTTTATTTAAATTTATTTAACTCAATAAATTATATACAAATTTTAACGATATAACGGTTAAATAATTTTTTTAATACATAAATTAAATTTATAAAATTATAAGAAAATTTAAAAATTATTTAATATCCTATTTCGTTAATTCAAATTGATAAATAATAATAAAAATATTTTATATATTAATTTAATTAATAAAATAAAATATTAATTAATTTTTAAATTTTTAAAAATTTGTAAATTTGATATATACATTATTAACTTTTAATTTAGTGATTAGTATTGTAAAGGATAAGTTATTAAGTAGAATAAATATAAATAAATTTATTTTTAAAATATGATTTATTTATATATAATTTTTTTATAAATTTTAATTATATAATAAATATTTAAATTTCGCATTGCAATAATTAAAATACTGATAAATACTATGGCGTATATTTTTACCTCTCATCAATTATGAGTCATAAGTTGATTTCTAATTAAAGAAATAGATAAAACAACCAAAAGGAGACAAAACGCATCTGGTTGAACAACAACAATCCTTAGATAACATAAAATAAAAACGTGGGTACAGTTTCTAAATTGCACAAAGACACCGCAATGCTTCTGAATGAAGATATATCATTGCACCAAATGGAATTAGGAAAGAAAATAAAAAAATATTTTCTTTTATCTTTAAATTGAAAAGTAAAAGAAAAGATACAACATAATCACGAATTTAACCTATTAACTTTATAATAAAAAGAAATTAATGATGCATCTTATCCTTGAATTCATAACTTGCTGTTGCATTAATTTATGAAACTACGAAAATTTTAAATCAATTTCTAAATTACTTTAAGAACTTAATTAACTCTCTAAAATTAACTGCTTTTTCGGTTTGTCCTTAAATAATAATATCATTATTATTACTTAAATCTTTGTTGAACTAAGAAGTTATACATGATTTGTTTGGTTCGTCACTGGAGTATCTTGTTTAAACGTGGATTAACCTCTACTGCTGAAC